ACACAGAAGGACTGGTAAATCTCAGCTATAACTGGGGAGACATGGAAAGATAGACAATAACACCAAAAAGCTACATAATTACATAATATACCATCTGGGAATACATGCAATGGACAACCAAGTGGGAATGTGGAGCTCAGGGGAGGAGGCTCCTTTGTCAGCATGGCGGCTAAGAAAGGCCTGGGATGGCATGACATTTGGACAGAGATCTGCATAAGATTATAAGCTGAGGGTGAGACCTATAGCATTCCAGGAGAAGGAAGTCCAAGGGTTCAGGAGGCAGAGGGAGCGTGTATGCAGACCTGAGCAAGCAGCATGTGTGGCAGTTTGAGCACCCAGCCCAGGCTTGTGAGAAACACTACCAGAGTAGTGGAGAGGCCTACCTTGTGCAGACCTTCAACTCTGAAAGACAGATATTCACACCCAGGGTTCTTCCTCAACAATTCCATGGTTAACTCAAGAGCACTATTTTGGAGCCAAAAATATTTAAAAATAACACCTTTTTTTGTGTGTGTGGCTTAGCAAAAATAAAAGAAAGGGTACGTTAATTCTCATCTTAGATTTTAGGTGAAATTTCACATTTATTTTCCACAAAGCCTGGCTTTCTTAGTTATGAGATAAAAAGTAGATGCTCCTTGCTCACAGGCAAGCTGTTTTCTAAATGGCTAAAGAGGTGACTTTAAAAAAAAAAAAGCCTAATTCAATAATAAGATATCTCAGAGGAAATTCTCAGCACACTCATATTTTAAATCTTTTAAAAATGACTATAATTTGCTCTAGCAAAGATATTTAAATATTTCCCTCTAGCCAATTGTAAATCTCATTTCTAATCTCAAAGCTCCTGTAATCAAGACCTCAGTAGTTTAAATAAAGCCTCCATTTGGGATTAAACCGCTATTGATATACAGACTTACTTCTGATTTTATGTGATCTATGGGTGAGTGTGTCTGAAATGCTTATCAAATAATTATAATTAAAATGTATAATTTCAGAAAGATGATCCACTAATTTTAATGATTATGTCTGGGACTTGGTGAAGGGAATGGAGAAATATGAAACAAAAATTTAAGCGCACAATTACATTGTGAAATACTATCTGATGTGCATGTCAAGAAAAAAATATCACCTTCACTTTTGGTGAAAAAGCAAATTTGTTCCTTAGATTTTTCTGGCTCTGCATTTTGGAAAGTTGTTAGTAATAAATGGAGTCTTCTCTTCCTTTCTCTGAATTAAAAGGTTTTCAATGTGTACCAATTATTTTAGACTCCTTCTAGACAATATGGGAGAGAGTTTGACTTTTCTTCACCTCTTCAAATTTAACCACTGGAATAAACACCTCAAAACAGATTCATCTGAGAGTGTAAACACACGAAGCATGAAAGCTCCCAACAGGGGGCCAGAACGGCTTGAAAATTGCTCAACATTGGCAGGAAACTGATAGTGTTTGTCTCTGTTCCTTTTAGTGAAATGTCTGCTGAGTTTGGTCTGGATTGATGAGGTAACTAATCCGTGGAAAGTTGTAGGGTTAGGTGGGGACATTTTATACTGTGAAACAGGGTGGCTCCAGGCTTGTCCAAGGAGGGCCTCTGACTCTTAGACATCTGCTGGGCTCCTTGACCGGCTGGGATGCAGATGCCGGGGTGCTAGGGGATTCTGACAGCATTCACTTGTCAGCTTCAGCAGCTAGTCAACCAAGACCACGGGAGAGCCTCAGAGCCTGAAATGTAAGAGATGGGCATTTTCTCTTGGTATTGCTGAACAGGAACTGTAGGTGTGAGTCCAGTGTGTCCAGGGCTAGCCGGACAGCCAGATTCAAAGCTCCTTCCTGTTGGGCCAGAGTTCCAGTTAAAGAAGCCATTTGGCTAGCCATGTACACACCACCCACTTTCAGGGGAATTTAAGAACACAGTCTGTTTTCTGTTCTTACAGATGGCAGAAGACACTCTCTGGGTTGAGATGAGGGGGGAAGAGTAATTCTGAAGCAGGAATTATGGGAAAATGTGCTTTAATTTTTTTTTGAGGTTATACTTACATTTAACAAGTATGTATCTGGTTGTTTCGCTCTGACTGTGTCTACACCAGTCAGTTCATATACATCTTGATGAGGTAGAAAAACATAACCCTTCTTCAAGCAAAATACTTCCAAGCTGATAGATTGCTGAATGTGGACCACCATGTAGCCACCCCTGGTTGCCTTGTCTAGGGTTGGTTTTTATAGGGCCTTTGAGGCTTTACATACCCACATGAGGATTTACACACTCACACGAGGCTTTACACACCCAGAACGCTTCCTCACATCCTTTACTGGTCATATATACAACCAGAGCACAGGCCACAAGTGCCCATCATACTCCTATGTTATTCATCCTCAGATGTGACATTCTTGTTCACTACAACCTGAACACCCCCAAATGGAAATGTTCCTTGGGGTAGATCGAACAGAGTTCAGAAGTTATGAGGATTCAAGCATTTCACTGGATTCAGATAAAGTCTAACACAAAAAGAGAAAAGACTAAAGATATCTCATCGAATTTAATGATCTTCATTGACATTTTATAGGTCTTAATTTCTATGATGCAAAATGTGCTTGGAAAATTGAGCCTTCTCAGTATAATGCATCCTATGTTTTAACATTTGTTGATGAGGATGAAAGCTTGTCTTCTGAATGTTAATGTAATGAGAAGCCATTCTATATGGGGATGGGAGGTGGGGAGGACCCCTAATCCCAGAACTCTGGATTTTGCTGAGGGTATGAAGATCCTGAGTGTTCAGAAGTTTACTTTAGGCCATGTGAATACTGGTGGCTGTGTTTGTGATGGGTTCTGAGCAATCTTCCTGGTGATTACTCAAGTGCGGAGCTTAAATTATTACCCCAGGCAAGCACCGACTTAAATGAAGTAGTTTTCTGAAAGTAGAATGTGATTAAACTATGCATTTCATTCAAAACACCTCCTGTTTCCACAATCTCCTTTGCTCCTGGTGCCTCATCTTCAGGGAGATGGATTCTTGGTGATAATTTGGAATGCTGACGAATTTTAGACTGAGATGAGGCTAAGCACAAGAGGAATCCGAAAGAGATTCTTGTCACAGAGCCAGAAGGAAATCACTGTACGCGAGAGAGCTGGGATGAGTCTTTGGATTTTTATTGTCTAGCCTTGTGTTTACACCTGCTTACCTCACTTGGGGACTGTTGGTTACCTGAGAAAATAAATCAGCTCTGTCAGCCGAAAAGCAGAGGCTTCCATCTGTGTGCTGAGGGAAACTTCCTGTTTCCCCAAAGAGGACTGAAGCTCGAGATCAGGAGTTCTCAACCTGTGGGTCACGACCCCTATGGGGGGGTAAACAACCCTTTGACAGGGGTGGACTAAGACCATGGGAAAACATAGATATTGACATTATGATCCATGACAGTAGCAAAATTACAGTTATAAAGTATCAACAAAAATAATTTTATGTTTGGGGTCACCATGACATGAGGAACTATATTAAAGGGTCGCAGCATTGGGAAGGTTGAGGACCACTGGCCTGGATGGACTGGGAACCACAGAAGGGAGTCCTGGGGGGGTGGGGGGGGGGCTCTTACGGTGGTGATCTTTGTGCGCATCTCACGCTGTAGTTTGAAATCCCTAGACTGTACTCATTTCTCTCCAAGAGTCACACACACCTGGCTGGCAGTTCCAGAGTGTCTTCCCACCAGTCTTCACTGTTCAAGAACAGCGTGCCCTCTTGTTGCCGACAGCTTACTGGCTGAGTGTTTAACTCAGTGAGACTTGACAGAGATCTGGGCAACTGCTCTGACATGCAGATCGTTCTCAGCATTATCTGTCTCCTCATACACACCCTCAGAGGTGAGGGATGGGCATAAACACATTTCTTTGTGAAGTGCCACACTGCATGCACAATCAGCTTTCTGACACCCCGGGTCCGCTTCTCTTCAGATCGTGCTGAGGGCTTACGATGGATGGAGCACTGCCAAAGTTGCTTTGGAAGAAAGTTGGGGATGGGGGTGGGGATAAGGGGGCAGTTGAACCCCACCTACCCCCGCCCCTCCCCAGAGGCAGTGCTTCAAGAAATGAAGCCCAGAGCATCAGTAGCCAGTGTCTGGGAAGAGATGGACAGATCCCCACCCCACAGTACTCACTGAGCACAGATTCCATCTCCCCACTCCACCTGCAACCAAATGCCACTTTTCACATAGTCTTACCTAACCATAACTATAACTCTGCCACCACAATGGCCTTACCATCCCTCTGTGGCTCTATTTTCTTCCACAGACTGTACTGGCTTTGGAATACTCTGCAGTGTTTTTATTAACTTTCTCAATCCCTCACACCTCTTATTCAACCACGGAGGTGGAACTTTTTCTCCAATGTGCTCACTGCTACACTCCTGATGGCTAGACCCGCCAACTGGAATAGAGTAGGTCCCTAATATTTGTGGTGGACTGAACACATGTCATGGGGTTTCTTAATGGAACTTGAAAAATGTAGAACTCTGTAGAAACACAAAGCCTCACTGGAAATGTCAGTGTGGCCGGGTAATACAGGAGGGAACAGCTAGCCTGCAGATACTGCTCAGCACGGGGGTAGGAGCTGATGGACTGTGGAGGAAAGAAAATCCTGTCTCACCAAAGGGAAAAGCTGTTTAAGGAAAATGCGTGGTTCATACAGTCACCTGGTGATGAAGTGAACATCTCTCACTCCCAGTTCTGGAATCCCTTTCCTGATGGGAAACCTATGGCTTATGTGATACTACGGCTCCACTGCTTTCCATCAGTCCAGCTGGCTCTGCTGAGGATGTCTGGTGTGCTCGATGTGAACTGTGCGGCTAGGCTTTTAGAGCTCACTGGAATCCCTGCTGAGTGCATTGCCTAGGGTTTTTAGGAGGTTGGGGCAGAGGTCCACAGCATCTGCTTGTTTTCTTACACAGCTACATTCTAAAAGTATTAACTCTGTACATGTGCTGTGCCAGTAAAATACCATCCTTATTCTTCCCTTCAGACAGGACAGAACAAAGCTCACAGGTGACAGCAGGCACATCAACCCTGCCTTAGGTGAGTATGGCCTATTTTGAGGTCTACACTGTCCCTCAGAAGTGACAAAACACTGTTCTGAGTCACTCAGAGATGGGGACATTTTATTTTCTTTGCTCATTTCTAGACTGTGCCACAGACATATAATAATAACCAAATAAAATAAAAATTAAAAACAAAAAAACAGCAACAAGAAGAAGCACAGATGGGGCTGCGGGGACAGCTCAGTGGTGAAGAGTGCTCGCTCTTCTTCTGGAGGACTGAAGTTCAGTCGCCAGCACCTGCACGGAGTGGCTCACAACTGCCTGTAACTCCGGCTTCAGGGGATCTGGCATCGCCTCCTGGCTTCTGCTGGCACCCTCACACTTGTGGCATACACCCGTGGATACACAGAAATAAAAACTGATATTAAAAGGACCGCAAAGATAGACTAGGGTTAACAGATGTACCTGAGATACCTTTTCTGCTTTGGTCCCTCTTTGCCTTCTGTTTTTTTTTTTTTTTTTTTTTTTTTTTTGGTTTTTTCGAGACAGGGTTTCTCTGTGTAGCTTTGCGCTTTTCCTGGAACTCGCTTTGGAGACCAGGCTGGCCTTGAACTCACAGAGATCCACCTGGCTCTGCCTCCCGAGTGCTGGGATTAAAGGCGTGCGCCACCACCGCCCGGCCCTCTTTGCCTTCTATGTCTGGATCTGCATCGTGACACTAGCATTTTCATCCAGCATTCTATATTTTCCTACATGGCATCTGATTACCATCTTTTAAAATGATTCGTGTACTGTTTAAAAGTATTTGTTTGTTACATGATTGGCAAACTTTTGGTTTTTTTTAAACTCAAAACAACTCTTTAGTCCCAACAGAGGGAAAGAGAAACAGAAGGAGGGAAGAGAAATAGACAGTAGAAAGGAGAGGAAGGGAAGGACCGTGCCTCTTGCTTCCAATCTGATGGGTAGAGACGGCGAGAGAGGAGCAGCGGAGCCAACAGAGGCGTGCAGGAAGACAGGTGAGAAAGGGAAGTGGAGCAGCACTGGTCCCGTGGGGCGTGGGTGATGTGTCCCTGTCTCCGCTCTGTTAAAATGACTCTGGAGTCTTGTGTCATCCCTCTACCCCTTGAAACGCCAGCTCCTTGTCTCCCTAGTTCTTCAACTGCACTGGTCTTTAAACTCTACAGGACAGCAGTATTGAGGAGAAGCACTTCTGTGTTCTAGAGGCCAGAATATCTTAACCCCTCCAGGAATAAGCCTGAGAGACATAAATGACTGTCAGGTTTGGATTTCCTTAAAATCCCATTGGCTGGAAATATTTAAAGGAACTACAGAGGCGATTTAAGGCCCACTCACTTACCTTAAGATACACAATGGGCATATCTACCCTAATGTTTCACCACTTATTTTTCCAAAAGGAATCCACTGAATTCTAGAGGAGACACACTATTCCCCTTCTGCGAACTAATTTCCTACTTTTATTTCTAGCCTTTGAAAGGACACTTGGAGAGTCGTTCATTTTGGGGAAGACTTTATAACTTGTAGTCTCTGTGAGGTTGGACAGTTATTTATTTTTATTTAGATATTTATTATTAATTGCTTCTGAGTTTGTGAATTTTCCACAGCCAGTATTCAAAGGCCATCCTCATGTTTGTGCCACTCTGTATATTCATCACAACTCTTTTTCTTTTTTTCAGAGCTGAGGACCGAACCCAGGGCCTTGCACTTGGTAGGCAAGCGCTCTACCACTGAGCTAAATCCCCAATCCCTCATCACAACTCTTACCTCGTCATCCTACTTACTCCAATTTTCCTTACCTCCCCTTTCATATGTCATCTTATCAATGAACCAATTACACACGTGTGTTAGGATATGCCCATGGGAACAGGAAACAAACAGTCATGTCCTCCCTCTCCCTCCCCAGCTCATCCCTCCCTTGATTTTTGTAGACTGTAACACGCATCCTGGTGAAGTTTCTTTAATGCCTCTCTCAGCGTGGGCCTTTGATCACTGGTTCTTTGTTTATTTCCTTCACTGTGATATTTTTTTTTTCAGAGCTTCTTGCTAAGTGCAAATGAGAACAGAAGTTTCAACCTCCTGCATAATGCTGTAAAATAAATAAATAACAGAATTTTATTTAAATAAACTACTCAAATCCATGTCAGTAAATGATCTCATTAATTACTCCTTTGGGGCTGTGGGGTATGTTTGCTTTCTTCTCGGAGAGGTGAAGAAAGTGGAAATAAATTTTCAGCTGTTAATGGGGTAAATTCTGTAAATGGAGAAGGGTCAGAGAAAACAACTTTAATTTCTACCACATTCGTTTTCAGGCACTTAATTTACTCTGTTTCTTTAACCCCACTCAGATGTTCCTTCTTGGTTTCGGGTGAGCAGTGTAGATAGACCGGGGTTAACCTGGTAGTTGCTTTCTGATGTGAGCAGTGAAGAAGCCGAATTAGGCAGAGGACAGACAGACAGACAGACATAGCTACCCCTTATAGATCAGTGTAGGATACGAGATTTTTAACCAAGTCTGCAGAGACTGGACAAAATCCAATTTGTCATTATTTATTCCTAAGCATTGTGCTTATACTCCGTACTTTTTCATTCTTATTCGCCATTTACCCAATTATATCTATCCTTATTAGACCCCTGCTGAAGACAGCATTAGCCAGAGAAGTCCCATAGCTTAGCTTAATCCTATTATCTCTTGATAAACGGGGCGCATGAGGCACTAGATGGCCAAATTCAGCACCACTCGTCCGTCCCTCTCCTCCCTTACCCTTTCTGTCTCACCCCCACCCTCCTGGAGAAAAAACGCGGTTGCTCCCCCTTCTGCCTGATGCAATTATGATCTGGAAGTGTGCCCGTTCTAATCCCTACTCACTAGGAGCATCACTGTCAGCCTGAGAAATGAACTGCTCTTAGGATGTAAAGGGCTGACGCCCGGTGACATGCGCTGATGTGCTGGGCCTCACTGCCACAGTGACAAAGTGAGCCCTATGTCTTCAGGGCTTTTAATGCCTGCCAGAATCAGATCATGGGATCTGAGGGAAAAGGTCATAGTGGCGAAGAAACTGGCCAGAAGTGATGTTTTCTAAGGTGCGGATTTGAATGGACATAGGGGGGGTGGGGGACAAGGTGAAGACAGGAAGGGAAGAGGTGGGGCGAGAAGATGAATGAAATCTCCTTTGGAGTTCCTTCACCAGGAATTCCATGGAACACAGGATCTTCCCCCCCCCCCCCCCCCCCCCCCACGAACTCAACTCAGCCTGTAATGTGCCTTATAGCGGTCTGCCCAGAGGCCCATGGTAGCAACAGATGACTGAGTCATCATTAAATGTCTGCTGGCTGGGGTCATAGCTGTGTGCCTACAGATCAGTGAACAGGGCTAGACTAGTGGCAAAAGGTAAAAAAACAAACAAACAAACCAAAACCAAAACCTCTCCAGGCTTACTAAAATGCTTATTAAAATACAGCTTCAAAGGGAAGTTGCCAAGTGTTGAGAGGAGAATAAGACACACTTTCCCGCACAGACATGGGACAGTATTTGTGCCGTAATTACAGCGCCCATTCCCTTCCACTATATAGACTATTTATAACATCAAAAGGGCTCTATGCTTCTTTTCAAAAAGAATTTATTATCCAAAAGGTTGTGTTTGGGAAAAGGCCAACTCAAGCCTCTGAGGGAAGAAGGAAAAGAACTCCATTTGGTTAGAAACAAATATAATTTTGACAATGCCAGAAACGCCTTTCTCATACATCTGCATTCTCTAAGTCATACAAAGAGTCGTAGAAACCCTCCAACCCTAACAGATTCTTCCTGAACCGAAGAAAATAAATGTGCTCAGAAGTTCCATCCTGTTAAAAAAAAAAAGAACACATTCCTTTTGTTTCGCTGGCAAAGAAGGAGATTGCCAGCAGGGCTCAGCACAAACAGAGTTTTGCACAAAATTGGAGATCAAGAACTATTGATTGGCCCTTGCGAAGATGGAGGGAAAAGTGCCCATAGAGTCACTCTGCTCCTTTGATGGTGCCAGCTCCTATAAGAACTTGGCTGCGAACCCTAGGGACCGACAGCAACACTTTGAACACATAGCTTTAGAGCTCTGTGGAACCACACCGGACCAGGACTTCCTTCGGGGGTGGCTAGGTTTATTTTATTGTCATCCTTAACATTAGCATGGTTGATGCTGCAGTGGCGGGTAGCTGAAGCAGTGGTCTAGCTAAGCATCCCCCGGAGAGGAACCTTTCTTTCTAGCTGGGGGCCTCCCAGTTTGGAAGCAGGGTGACTCTACATCCTATAGGTCGAGACGAAGGAGAGAGGATGCCTTGCATCAGACACAGAGAAGGGGAAAGAAGATGCACATTTATTATGTTTATCAGAGCAAGCTCCTGTGCAGGCAATGTCTATGCATTTACCAAAAAAAAAGCATGTCCCCCGTAACATGCATTGGTGAACCTCAGCTAGCATAATAAAACAGCTGAATAATATTAAAGAGCATTGGTTTACAATAACAGTTTAACTTGTGTATTTACTTTACATTGGCTTCTATTGTCATAATGATAATGTATAAGAGAAATAGAAGTTAGCATTATCTGGCCAGAATTGACACCAGTAAGGGATTTTTGCCTGGCTGTGGTGTTACTGCCTTCCCTGACTACTATGACCACTGATAAACTTATTATTCTCTAGAAACTTCTAGAGGGGATAAAAATTATCCTACTAGACACTGAAGGTTAAAAAAAAAAACCCACAGAAGAAACAACACTAGGAATGTGTTATATCTTTGACATGTGTTGGCCAGTGAGGCAGGGAGGTCTCACAACCCCTCTCAAACACTACAGAGTATTGTCCATACTCTTTGTCACCTTCCAGAACTTGAGCACAGGAACCTATTGCTAAATACCATACGCTTGAGGGACAGAATATGGGAGTAACCAACCACTTTCTGATGGGATCTAAGCCCTACTCCACAAGATAAAACCCATATATGGTATAATTCCTGGGCTAAGAACCTGTGGGGAGATATGTCATAAGCCCTAGGTGAGAACCTACTACTACTGTCCTGCTAGATGGACATAGCATTGAACAGACTCATTGTTATGCTGGTATATTAATCACCTCTTGACCCGCCTTAGAAAAGCCTCTATTTTTAGTAGATGGTGATCAGCACCAAGACCTACAACTGGCCAAAGTATAAAGAATGGGGGGGGGGGCCAGGATGCCCAGCCCTAAACAGGGCATCTATACTATACTTTCTCCTCACAAGACTTAAGAATCACTGAGGAAGAGAGGGCTGAAAGAGTGTGAGGGGGTAGATGACCACAAGGAAACGGTATCTTCTGGACATGGCAGGGCAGCTACACACAGGAGCTCACAAGACCTGTTCAGGTTCAAAACAACGCACATGGCAGTGTGGGGAGGGGAGGTGGGTATGACGTCCCACTCCTGGCTGAGGAACCACTGGCAATGGCTAGCTGCCGGGAAAGTCAGTTTCACGAGTGTTGCCCGTGGTCAGCTGATCAGGTTCCAGTGAAAAGCCACACCTCTACACACAGCCACACCAGCATAGACTGGACCTGATGGGCACAAAAATCGAGGGCACAAAACTAGATGGGTAGAGAAGGAGGAGAACCGGATCTGCCAGATGTTGGGGGGAAGGGAAGAATATGATCAAACCACATCGTACAAACTTCTCAAAGAATTAAAAAAAATCAGATCAAATCAAATGACAGACCAAACACAGAATTTGTGTTCCCACTGTAGCCCAACCTCAGCACAGAACGCAGAGCGTGGAGGAAAAAGGAAGAAGGTTCAAGAAGAGGTCCCCATCTGCCAGAACTCCACTGCCAAACATCTGGCTATTTGTCTCTTACTCCATGAGATTGCAGACCATTCACAGTCGTGCCTGTTCTTCCCCAAAGCATCCCAGTAAATGCAAAATTCATCAGACCTTGTACTGATCCTGCAAAAGAGTGAACCCAGCACAATAGGTTTCCAGGTATGAGATAAATCAAATTTTGCTTCATCTGTCTCTGGGGGAGGGAGACTGGCAGAGTTCTAATCATATACATATTTAAATTTGTAATCAGACTCCTTGGGAGGACAGGGCTGTTGTGTTTACTGTGAGCTTACAGCCTGGGTTTCTGGGGACTGAGGATGCTTGGTTGTAAATCCTGTCATTTTGGTGACTTAATATTTTATATTATCATTGTATTAGCATAATTGTGACCTCTGCATTGTAGCGTTTTATGTGTTTCCAGTGTAACTTTTGATACTTTACTAAAGTCAACAAAAATTCCCATTATTCCCTCTTTTAGAACACATTTGGCATGAAGTATTAAGGTTGATTTAATGTTATTAGTGCTTAAAGTGGTGTGAAATCCATGAACATACACATCCATCTCCCAGTTCACCAGCATAGCACCATAAAACACAAGGAGATTGGTGATAAACATTTCCTCTCCTTTTTTTCTCTTTCCCTAATTCTTCCTGCTGGAGGCTCTGCCTCTACCCAGAGGGCATGTGAGTGTTGCCAGTTCCCCCACACAGATCAATCACCAGGGCTTCCACATGCCCAAACAATAACACAACAGGAGAGCCTGGCTCAGCTGCCAGCCTCATTAAAACTATTCTCAAAGTAACGGCAAGGTTTGGGGAGCACTCCACTTGGACCAGACTCTGCATATTTTCCAAGATAATGACCAGAGGAGAAGCGTTAGAGGACATAGTCCCTTTTATTTGTAATTTTGGCAAGTCACAAAAAAAATACAGCCAGGCAAAGCTGATTGTTTCAAAGGCTGTCCAACGGCAAAGTCTTGTTTAAAATTCTTAGGGAAAAATTATTACTATGGTAAGACTACTGAGGCTTGAAGGGCTGCAAGGGGAAGTAAAGTCAGGGGATTCAGGGCTCTCTGCCTTGCTGGTGTGGAGCTGCAAAGTGAGCAGGGAAAACGGAGCCTAGGGTTAGCCTCCCTCTCGGGCCCTCAAATGCTTCATCAGCTGCTCTGTCCTGTGACCGTGCACGTGGGTGGGATGTGTGTCACTGGGTGGCACAGAATTCCACAGCCCCTCTTCAGTGCTGTGGATGAACAGTGAGAAGCGTTAACACAGAGACACAGGGATCCTGAGCAAGCGGCTTTATGATCTCTGGAC